GTTTTCAAGCATGAACAGGGCAGGAAGAAATTGGGCCAAAAATTTTGTACATTCAAAAGCTTTTCTGTATATTCGGATACATAAAAACTTTATCAAACAGACTCTACATAACTTAAGTTTAAAAAGTTGGTACAATTTTAATTAACGACCTTCGTGGTCGAGTGGCCTGCATATCGGTTTACATGACGTCGCCATTTCTGATTTCCCGGGTTCCATTCCCGGCCAAGTCAAGAAACAAACTTATCTACTCGTATATTGTGTGTTTTAGTTTACTTTAGTTACTTACTTTTGGATCAGAGTAACGTATGTGATGTAGTTTAATATTTTTTTAGTTTTATAGTATAATTATAGTATTTAAAAAAAAAATCAAATTTACCTATGTCCATTATTTTTACAGGTGATGATTTTGTTACCATACTATATTTGTTTATATGCTCCTGGTTTAGTACTTGTTTTCGTAATACTGGTAAGCGATCGTGAAGAATCACCTTTGTATTTTGTGAAAAGATGGTACTAAAGTTACGTTAAGAAATGTAATAGATATTTCACGCTGGTTTTTTTTTGTCATCTAAATCGATTATTTCTACGATCAATTAGGCGGAATCCGTGCATAATGTTTACTGAACCAAGTATTGCAGATATGTTTATCTTATCTTGTTACACCTGCCTGAGCAAACATACGGACCTGAGTGCCGTTTTAGGTGAATTGATTTCACTAAGCACGTATACAAATACGTATTTAGTGAAAGCGTAATCGAGCGTATTTATAAACATATAATGTGTAACATTCTGGAAGACAAAAGGTGATGTTATTTCTAGAGTCTGGGTAAAACTAACCATTATATTAATTACCCTTTGAAATCGTGAAAAATAATCAGTTTATACCACGCTATTAAAATATAAAAAGCCGGAATTTTTTTTCACGACTGCAGGGTTCCTTCATGTAAAAGTTGTTGGTTTTATGTACTCTACCTGTGCTTTAAAATAGTTACAGTTAACGTGGGGCGCACTATAAGTTTCCGGAATGAATAAGAAAACAATACTATAAGTAAAAAAAACCAAATACAAAGATACGACTCAAGCACATAGAAAAATTCGTGAGGTCCGTTGGTTCGTTCCGTGGTTTAGTTGGTATAGCGTCTGGCACGGTATGCAAGAAGACCGTTCGAATCCGACCGGATACAAGGAATTTTTTCTGAGTGATCGATCTTTGTATTAATAATTATAACAAACTAGTGGAGTAATTTCACAAAAAAGAATTGAATATAAATTCAATAAAAATTTAATTAATACTATAAGTGGTCAGAAATTAATTTATTGTTTCTTAAAATATTCTCCGTTAGCGTGAATGCACTTTTTCATACGAATCAATCAATTTTGAAAACATTTATGCCACTCCTACGTGACAATCTCTGAAACATATTTTTCATACTCTTAGACAGCCTCTTCAGGTGATGAAAATCGTTGACCGCGTAAATGGTTCTTAATTTTTGGAAGTAAATAAAAGTCACAAGGGACAGGTCGGGACTGTATGCGAGATGGCTCATAAGGTCAAAGTTGTACACTTTCAAAAATTCATTTGTCTGTCTGGCCGTGTGAGAACTGGCATTGTTGTGGTCTAAGATGATACGGCATTTACAGTTATTTTACGGAGTTTGTCAATAACTTCTGGCAAACAAATGGTCGTGTACCAATCACTATTCACGGTACAACGATTCTCCAAAGCAACAGTAGCCACGTGTCCAGTTTTATTAAAAAAAAAGCAATCATCCGCTTACAGGCACTTTGCACGCGCGCCACTTTGGTTGGTTTCGGCTCATCTCGAAAGACCCATTCGCTCGATTGCTGCTTTGTTTTGGGATCGTAACTATAAATCCATGTTTCGTCACCTGTTGCTATGTCCCACACCAAATTTGACGCCCCTTCGTTGAATTTGGTAAGCATGGCATTGCACCAAGTGACGCGATCCGTTTTTTGAGCCTCAGTAAAATTGTGTGGGATCCACCGACAGCACAGCTTTTTCACACCCAATTTTTTGTGTAGTGTTGATTGTATTTGACTCATGCCTATGCCTAAAGATGCCCGAATTACATGGTGTCACATGCCTGTCTGTTTTGATCGTACGGCACACAGCATCGATGTTTTTGTTGTTCGCAGAAGTGCACGGGCGACCGTCACGAAATTCGTCACTGAGATTGCGGGCGTAGCTGGTTTGCAGATTTCAAACCGATCGCGTTTGCAGCTATAAATAGTCGTCTTGCATGGTGCTTCATCGCCAAAAGCAGTTTGAAGCCGAGTGAAGCTCCGCTGAGCTGTTCAATTATACTTAGACGTAGAAAACCATACTTCGAAAATTTTCACGAGTTAAATCCGTGGTGATGTAGACAACCAATTTCTAAAATGACACCACAATGTAAAAACAAGTGACTGTCAGATGACACAAACTGTATTTTATAGCCAGAGTTCCATTTTCTAAGTATTGTAATTACTTTTTAAATATTGTTTATGTAAGTGGCCAGTTCCGGAAACTTCTAGTGCGCCCTATGTATTTGGTTGTATGTTGTTTAGTAGTAGTGTACAACTATATTAGGAATCAAACAGAGTTTTTTAGAACAAAATAAAAATACTACTTATTTGTGTATTACAAAGAGGAGCCCTTGTTTTTTTATATACTATTAAGTGACGGGATGTGGTAAGCGACACGCCTGTCCCTAACAGTTGCAGTGCCACTCGGAGCTTTAAAACACAAAGATCTGGGGGACACTGCCATTGCGCCCAAGACCCTGAGACATAAGTTAACAAGTCCCATGTGCCTGTAATTCCACCAGCACCCTTACCCTTCGAAACCGGAACGCAGTAATGTTGACATTATTGCTTGACGGCAGAAATAGGTAAGGTGGCAGTATTTCCCTGGACGAACTCTTTCACAAGGAGCTCTACTATAAGATAAGACTATAAGATCTCCTCTCAATGAAATGTACTCTAAAAATACCATACTGAAAGTAGTCCCTAGTAATGAGGGAAGCTGATTTTTATCCTCCAGTGGTTTGAAATAAGTTCAGATCCGGTCCTTACGTATCGTTCTTAATACATAAAGGTCCTGGTTTATTAATAATTCCTCTAAGAAAAGCCACGGCTTATCGTTTAGTCACGTCACTGGCTCACATTCACCAGCCCTAATAGGTATCGCTTTGATCTCTGGCCCATTTGCATCTCAAATCGTAACTGTTTAACGCTTTAAACTACGTATGCAAGGTGAACAAGAAAAGCTCAACTATTTTCGGCTGGTGATTGTACACACGATAGCAAGCAACTTTAACAAAAAATTAAAATCAGGAATTTTATTTCGCTGTTCGATAAAATGTATTTGTCCATCTGAAATATGATCGGACCTTTTTGTTACACCCTATGTACTTCTTCTTTAATCGAATGTTTGTTTCAAAGTATTTTATAGGTACACAATATTGGCATGTCGGGAAAAGGTCACATAACAAAGAAATTTCAATATTTTTCTTTTGTGTTCTACTGGGGTAATAAGAAGAAACATTTAAATGACTAAATGTTGTAAAATAATATTCTACATAGATATTAGAATGTGTATAAACTTTATGTGATAAATATTTATGTTTATCAGTAAAAAAAACTTTCTCTACAAGTACTGAAGATTCATAATGAGGTTGATTCTACAAATTAACGTGATATTTAGAAGTCTATTATTAACCTCTGACCATTGACCTGGTCAATGCCGCTGACGTAAAATAAAGCGGTTATAAGTTTCTTTGCATGCCCTTGTCTATCTGTGGCATTGTAGCTCCCAAACAGATGGACTGATCTCAAAATGGGTTTTTTATTTGGAGGCTAATCGGAATTCCCTGCCCGCAGGCTTGTTCCCTGAACGTTATAACTTGGGCATTTTCAAGGCGAGAGTGAATAGGCATTATTTGGGTGTGCATGCTCCATCGTCGACCTCATCGTCACTTTCCATCAGGTGAGATGGAGGTCATATGAGCACTTACATTTTATTTAAAAAAATCGGATAGTTTTTAGTTATATTTCATGAAAATCTGTTCAGCAGTTTCAAGATCATCATATCTCTTCTGTCAGTAGGTAAAATAAAATAAAATATTTATTTTATTTTCACTTAACCGATCGACTTCAAATATGTATACTATGGAAATCCAACTTTACAATAATATGGCAACCTTGATATGACACTCTAACCGGGAAAGTGTGCAGACTATTATATATCCAATTCTTTAACTACTTAAAGTATTACGTTTTTTGGGTTGTTAGCTTACGTATCGGCGGTTTTTTAATTTACTTTTTATAGTATATTTTTATATGTTAATTGTTATATTTGTAGTAACAAAACACCCGTCTTAAACAGTAACTACAAATCTTAAAAGATTTACAAGCATATTCCATATGGCGCTGTGTAAAATTGTGGTCTACCAAAAATGCGATGAGGCTTTCGGTAAATGGCCGTAGCATGGAATATCACTTACAATTTTATTGATGTGCAAGGGATAATGAATATAGCGGTTTAATCTCGTTATTGGTGTAAAAATATCATTAAGGGCCTTTTAAGTACCATTTTTCTAAATAAAAATGTACGCTAAGCTGTGACATTTAAAACGAAATATCATTTATGAGTTTTGGCTATACCATATCCATATTAGAAATTTAATTTCGAATCCTAATGGGCGACCGTGTTTAAAAAATGGATTATTGCAGAAAATATATTTATAAAAAAATCCATACATATACGTAAAGTATTCAAAAACATTAAACGCAAAGTCACCATACTACCAGCAAGAGTGTGGGCCTACGGCACATACATTAATGAAATTCAAGTTTTAGAGGTTCTCATAGTAGATAAATATTATTTAGGGCGTAAACCTATATCTGAGCTAACATAACCAAACAAACATTGACACACATTTTATGTTAAAATAGTTTGATAAGTAGTGTAGACGTGCGGTACAGTGTTGATATCAAACCTCGTGCGATTGCCCGTCGTGTCCGGGCAGTCCGTCGCGGACCACGTAGTGGATGAGGTCCATGGCTCTTCGCATCTGACAGAACACCGTGTCGCGGTTCTCCCGCGCCGACGCGCTGCTCGGGTGCCGCAGACATGTCTGCCCGACAAGTGAATTAATATTTAACATCTTTTTTTTATTAATGTATAGAAGCCAGAAACAGAAACTATACTCATGAAAATATCTAGAGGAACATTAAAAAAGTTGAATTATGATGACAACGTTCATACGAACCACTGGCCACATATACTAGAACATTTAATCGCAATGAAAAGACGTTGTAGTCATTCTTTTCTAACCGGCTGTATGTATGTTTTCCGATTTCTTCGTCAATTTTCGACTGATTTTGAAAATTATTTGTTTGTTTGAAAGGGTGCAGTGTCTCGTGGTGGCTCCATTGCCACCAAGTCAGAATCTAATGAGGGGATCCCATGGAAATCGAGAAAAATCCTCAAATTTTATAGTCATGTCGTGTTCTCACCAATTTCTCCATCAATTATGGACCTTTAAATTATTTTTTTTATTTGAAAGCGCACCGATGATGCTGTTCGGCTATCACAAAATAAATAAATATTTTCCGTAAATACCTCTTCCTCTTTTAAATGATGTATGTCAATGGGGCCATCGAAGTAATCGATGATTTCGCCAATATCAAGTTGAGGAACACGCGTTTTACTCAAAAAATCTCCGCAAATAAAAGTCGACTTTTCACATGACACAATACATGTCATTAGCAATCACCGTCACTATGACAACAAGAAAAAAAGTATAAAATGTACAAAGGAATCCATAACAGTCACCAAGAAGTCAGAATCTGTTGATGGGATCCTTAGAGGATGGAAAAAAATAAATAGTCTAAGATGGGATGGGAAATTGAAAAAAGCTGATAGTCGATAGTCCGAAGTACAAGTTATTTTTGTAGTTTTTTTATACAGTCCTTGAAAGCATAGTTTTGCCATAAAGAGGTTTTTAAATTCGAAATTGATTTGTGATTGGAAGTAGGTATTATTTTCAAAATTCTACTTAAATGATGTATAGGATAAATTAAGGAACTATCAAAGTGCAAATGGTCTTTAAAGTTGTCGTCCATGCAGTTGTAAACATATACTTGCATTAAGCGGCAACAACTTCAGAATAGTAAATTCAATCTGAATCAGCTAATTTAATTCAGAAAGTCAGCAAACTTAATACAAAAACGTTGTCCGCATCCTTTCCATGTACTTGGAAAGGACGGCAATAGATTTCTATAGCCTGCAAAAGGGTCTCTATGCTAGGGGAGTACATGAATGCTGACATAAACAGCACGAAGGGGAATAAATAAACTCCAAAGGGTATAGTGCGTTTATATGACATATAAAATTAACGGCGGTCTTAAAACCTTTTAAAAGAACGCAACTAGTGTTTAGTGTTTTAGTTTTATTTAGTGGTATAGAAAAATAAAGCTAGCGAAATATGTCAGCATCGGCACAGAGCGGAAGCGGTGATAGATTGCACGCTTGTTGGATGCCGTGTATTGTTTGCGTCGTGTTCGTTTGCTACTTTCTCCTTCTGTAAGATACAAATTTCTTATAATTCTTTTAGACGTAAAAATGTCTGTAACTTCGATTTTGGGACTGGGCAGCACATCGAAATGTTCTGATCAGTTTTCAAATGTGCATAGTTCTGTCTGTTGTCAAATGACACACCAGGATCTTTGACATCTTAAATAAGGGAGCTATTGCGTAAGAATTTAACTTAATTTGCGATGCAATAGTAAATAGTAAACGTTAAAACAAAAAACCAGCAATACAACCTTGATTCAACGATGAGGTTTTTTATGAAACTGACATTTTTATCGTTTCGACCGCCAATCCAATATCATGAACATTTATACCATGTTGTAGTAAGAATTTACTAAATGTATGAAATATTTATAAAACGGGAGAAGTAGATTTAGAGCCCGCAGTTAAGTTCGCCAATCTTTCAAGCCCAGTAATTTGTTGAACGTCGCTTTAAATGGGACAATTTCCCAAATAACAGCGGCGCATTAAAGTTTTTGCCAATGCCAGCCCAGTGGAGACCCGAATTCTATTCTATTTCAGCTACATAAAGCCGAGGTATGGCACTCATATTCTGACTCGTCGTTAACCACAGAATAGCCTCACTGCCGCGTTTAGCTGCGGTGCCATGACCATTTAAAATATTTTATTTCTTAAATCTCACTGAAATAAAAGCGCCATTCCGTTGGCTCCGACTAAATCTCTCTACTTAAATGTAACGGCGGTTGTTAGTCAAGCAGCTGATACGTCTTCATAAAATGCAGAAAAGACGGTTGTAAGACAGAAACTTCGGGTAACACAAGTACGTTCCATTACGTTTCGAATGGTGTTTTATATGAGCATTTGTAGAGGATAGTTGTTATCAGATTGATAATTAAATCGGATGAAAAACTAGTGTCTATCGAGTTAGGAGTAGTGTTGTTAAAAAACCGTTTTTTTTCTGAGGCGAAAAAAACAAGAAAAAAAAAACATGAAAAGAAACCGTATTTTTTTTTGTAGTACGTTTTTTTTGTAAAGGTATGAAAATAAAAATATGACAATATGACAATTGTATGTTTTTTACTACATTTCCTCTTTTGTTGTTAATATTATTCGTCATAGATAAATTGCTCAAAATAAATGGGCAACACTCAGAGTGTTGTCAATTTGTGGCGAATTCCCCAAATTGACGGAGAATTTCAACTCGATTCGGCATTTTGTGGGATTGACGCTATGTGGGGAAAATGGGGGGAATTGCTAACATTTTACCTTTTTTTCTAAATCTATCGATTGCTGTTGCATCGCTACTTTGATGATTACTGATAAAAACACTATTTACTTGTTTATCTAAGAGCAATATCAATATTTTTTCCCACACCTATCCCTTATACATAGGGCACACTATAAGTTACAATATTTAAAAAGTAATAACAACATTTGAAAATAGAACTTTTTGGCTGTAGTTCAGTTTGTGTCAGATGAGAGTCAGATTGACTGTCACTTGTTTTTACATTGTGGCGTCATTTTAGAAATTGGTTGTCTACATCACCACGGATTTAATTCGTGAAATTTTTCGTAGCATGATTTTCTATGACTTTAAGAGTAATTTAACAGCTCAGCGGAGCTTCACTCGGCTTGAAACTGCTTTTGGCAATGAAGCACCATGCAAGACGACTATTTATAGCTGGTTTGCAGAATTCAAACGCGGTCGTATGTGTAATCTCAGTGACGAATTTCGTGATGGTCGCCCGTCCACTGCTGTGAACAATAAAAACATCGGTGCTGTGCGCCATACGATCGAAACAGACAGGCATGTGACACCTTGATATTCGGGCATCTTTAGGCATAGGCATGAGTCAAATACAATCAACACTACACAAACAATTGGGTGTGAAAAAGCTGTGCTCTCGGTGGATCCCACACAATTTGACAGAGGCTCAAAAAACGAATCGCGTCACTTGGTGTAATGCCATGCTTACCAGATTCAACGAAGGGGCGTCAAATTTCGGGTGGGACATAGCAACAGGTGACGAAACATGGATTTATAGTTACGATCCCAAAACAAAGCAGCAATCGAGCGAATGGGTCTTTCGAGATGAGCCGAAATCAACCAAAGTGGCACGCGTGCAAAGTGCCTATAAGCGGATGATTGCTTTTTTTTTTAATAAAGCTGGACACGTGGTTACTGTTGCTTTGGAGAATCGTTGTACCGTGAATAGTGATTGGTACATCATTTGTTTGCCGGAAGTTATTGACAAACTCCGTAAAATAACTGTAAATGCCGTATCATCTTGCACCACAACAATGCCAGTTCTCACACGGCCAGACAGACAAATGAATTGTGATGGTGAACAACGTTGACCTTATGAGCTAACTCGCGTACAGTCCCGACCTGGCACCTTGTGACTTTGATTTATTTCCAAAATTTAAGAACCAGTTACGCGGTCAACGATTTTCATCACCTGAAGAGGCTGTCTAAGAGTATGAAAAATATGTTTCAGAGATTGTCACGGAGGAGTGGCACAAAATGTTTTTAAAATTGGTTCATTCGATGAAAAAGAGCATTAACGCTGACGGAGAATATTTTGAGAAACAATAAATTAATTTCTGACCATTTATAGTTTTTTTTTTATTTATTCCGGAAACTTATAGTGCGCCTCACGTATAGCAACATTTACATAGAATTATTAGAAAGCCACTTACATAAAATTATTCGGTAGGATATGAGTAACGGAAACAAAGACACAGAAAGTTTTGATGACATTACAAGTGTGGGTACCACCACAAATGAAGATTAAATTTTTGTTATAATTATCATGGTAATTGATGTTAATAAACATGTTGTATATATATACAACATGTTATATATATACACAACATGATTATTAACTAATATAAGTTAGTGTCTTATTTTATTTCAATTATCCCATTTTAAATTTTCTGAAAAAAGAAACCAACTTTAGAAAAAAAACCAGAGCACTGTGTTTCTTTTCATGTTTTTTTCAAAAATGTGAAAAAGTAAATTGTTTTTTTTTTTCAAGTTACAACACTAGTTACAACAACACTAGTTAGGAGTCACAGAGACCGGGCGTGATAGTCCCGAATTGGCGTGGTCTTAAATAATAGATAGGAGGAACGTAGGTCGCGCGACAGGGCTAATTTACGCGCGGCTTGAGACTTGGGACACAGCGACTGGACACTACCTACCAACACCGCATAGAGAATTTATTGCGATTCAACGCGGCTAATAACAATCCCACGAGAGTCGGTTGGTGTTAATTGAATATCACTTTGTTTTGAGAAAGTAATTCGCCGTGTTAATAAATTAGATTGCTTTAGTGAGTTTAAGTTTGTCTAGAAGTTACTAGAGTTGCAGTAAAAATTTCCTTTTACATATTTTTAAGTTCTATTTTTAAGTGTTTTATTGAATGTTAGGACCACCACCATGATATCCAATTATTTTTTGAGAAATTACTAGTTTCTTATAATGATTGATACAAAGATCAAACACTTAGAAAAAATCGTTCGATACGGCCGGATTCGTACCGACGTCTTCTAGCAAATCGTGCCAGACGCTATGCCACTTAAGCCACGGAACGAACCAGCAGACCTCACGAATTTTCTATGTGCTTGCTTTGTCGGATCTTCGTACTTGGTTTTTATTCTGGTTTTATTTTTTGTTAATTGTGATATGAAATGTATGTTACCTTAGAAGAGGTAAGTAGCATAAGCGTGGACCGCTCAAGCACATTCCTGGCGGCGGCAACTTGTGCGCGACGGCGCTCGTCGCGCAGGTCGGCGCGCCGCTCGGCGGTCAACCGCGCTAGCTCCACCATGCCACCACCGAACTCCGTGAAAGCACGCACAAACTCCGTGAAATTCGACACCGACTCCAGTCGATCCAACGAACGCGCCACCTGGCACGTGACATTCATTATGAAACATTGTACAGACAGACAGCCTAAGAACTAGTTTTTTAAGCCACTACCTTGATAGTACGTATGTATTAAGTTAAAAATCGCTAGTCCATTTTATCGTTAACTTATAAGTTCGTCGTTCGTCGTCGTCGTATCGTTAAGTTATAAGGTACAGCTGGACGCAGCAACGTACTGGGGACCATCTGCAATGCGGATGATGTCACCAAATCAGACTTGTTTGGTAACGTACCAGGGTGACCAGAATATTTGAAATAAAGGAAACATAAATGGTAGCAAATAATTACAGATCTGCCTCCTGTCCAGTCTCTGGAAACTGTTATTATCGGTGTTTGTTTCTTCTTGTAGATATTATTTTCAGTCTATAGACTATAAATTCATATTTATAATTTGCTCATCTCGGTAACCTCACTTTATACACAAGTATATTTAAAAAGCAAAAATACCTTGTCTTTGGCGAGGAGGAGTTGTCGCACGACGACCATGTCTGCCAGTAGTAGCACGCGGGTAACGGAGGCGAGTAGCGCGCGCGCCGCCGATACCATGCCCGCACCGTCCGCGCCTGCGCACACGCGCTCGATCGCTCGCCCTGAGCCAATAGATAAAATTATGTAGAGAATTATCTTTGGTAAAGCAAAGTAAAGGCATAAGTACTCTGTTTGACTTTTAAAAAACGCTAATTGAACTGTTATAAAGTGAAATAACACAGATTTGAAACCGTCTTACTAAACGTAAACGGGTTCGAAGTTGACCCAAATAACTCGAACGTTAAGAAAAGCAAAGTGAGCTTAACAGATTTAAGTAGTTCAATTTAAATCTCATTGAAACTCGAACCATTCAGGAAACATCGTTGAGTAAACAAAGTTAATTCCCAAATTCCTCGACCGCATCAATTGCATGAAATATGCAATGAATATATAATTAATGAAGTTAGCGCCTGAAAGCAATTCGTTTTGATTAACTTAATAACTTAATCTGTGTTATTTCTGACACCTGCCTACAAAAGCGGATGTTCATTTTAGAAAAGTATTTTTCCTAAACCTTTTGTACATTGCCCGTGTATGTAAAAAAAATATTTACAATTCCGGGACAAACTTGTTTTCTCTGGGAGACGAAAATACCATAATGTAAACAAAGACACCACATCAAATATGTATTAGGGAATTTGGGAGCGTAGTCGCCTAACCAACTAGGGGTTCTTTTGTGCCAAAAATATGATTAGTATAACATTCCAGCCATCTTTATAAATAAGTTAGTTGATTTTAACACCGTTCCGTACTTAGCTATTTCAATTAACGTTTAATGGAACAACATTATAAACTTATTAAGAGGTAGATAAATTGAGAGGGCGAAGTTTACGCGTAATGTTTTGTAATCCCCGTCTTTGATCTTTACGAAGCTGATCAGAGAAATGTGCGTGTTAAAACACAAAAAGTAAACGAAATTAGTCTTGTAAGAGAAACTTTCCTCGCAATAAACTACTAATTTTACTTCAAGTCATAAGAAACACAAGATATTATTGAAGTTTACAAGAAAATAAAGATTAAAATAATTAACCTAAAGATCTGGAGCTTGCCAGGTGCCTAAGTAGGGGCTTACCATTGTTACAAAAATGGTAAATTTCGATATACAATATCATAATTAATCTTTTTAAGCATCTAATGATTAATGATGGTCTGTAATATCGTAGGCAATGAGTACCTATTTTGTTATAATAAAATCTAATTGACGACCAGGGTATAGAAATGTAGCGATGTAGTATGCTGGCCTGCAGATTCGCGTAATGCTCCATCGAAGTCAAAATTACTCTATTCAAAGCTTACAGCTAATAATTTTACTCGGTGGCCTGTGGGTTAAGTATATGAAATGCGGTTTTATAACGCCGTACGTGTACAATACAACAATGCTTTCAGGATGCTGTTGAGTCTGCCGATATGGTGCAGGGCGTCAGGCATGTTCGCAGAAGCGCATATCGACCCCTCCCACGTAAAGTATCGTATGTCGAAATTGCCAAGTTTACAGGGAAGCCTTTTAAAGTTCTGAATTCACTGACATAAGCATAACACGTGACTTTAGCATTTCTCACTTTTATTCGGCAAATCTCGTTACTCACGTAGAGTCTTATAAAATCATAGATATTGCTTTGATGATCTGTTAGATGTTCACTGTATGTGAGTTATGAACTTTGCCGAATGAAACGGAGAACTTTAAAACACTCCCCTGTAAACTTGGCAATTTCGACATACGATATTAATTCCATATACATTCCACGCAATAATGCGAAAAAAATTAGTATCGCCTATGACTCGTGTCAGAAGTAGTTTCAACAACATCCTGAAGATGGTTGGAGCCAGGTTTGATTGTCTAATTCTAATGTACTTGATAGGGCAAATCAAATTTGTTTTTATGAATATTAATTAAGTAGTTTTTGTGTTGTTATGATATGTAATACCAGTATACTTTAAAAGAAAGTGTTATTAACTATTTATATGAATCTATGTCTGAAATAAGTAATACCTAGGTATTCTATTCTATTATGTTCTAAAAACTGAAATTAAGTCTATAAGTTTACGTCGCAGTTTTCGGGAGTGCTAGGTCAGTGCCGCTGTTGACCATTACAATTAAGTGATGATAGTGAGGTGAGTTAAGGAAAAATGGGCTCATAAATTGCGATAAAAAAAGCAATAAAAGCGACATGGGCAGACAAGGGCAATTAAACATGTACGTGCTTTGTTTCAAATATGTACGTCTAACAGAGCAGTGTCTAGGGACAGTCCAAACCCGTGTGATTAAGTGACAATCGTTGGTTATGAGGCTAATGTAGGGACTTGTCATTTGTTTTTGATATAAAATATGTACCTAACGAACATGTTTTACAAAAATGTGTCGCGTATATAGTATGATATACTCGACGTAGTAACAGTTAAGGTAATTTTTAAAAAGGTTGGTAACCTTCTAAAACAGTAAAACATATGTTTCGAATGATCCACATGCTTTCACGTTATATCCAATTTTGAAAACTATCGTCTATTTGCTGAAGCTTGTGTAAGAATAATTTTATTAATACATTTCTGTAATGGTAATATTTCTGTATTATCAATAATAATTAACGTAGTATATGATGGTATATCCAATGTCTTTCTTTCGTTTCTGTCGTTTAACAATTTTTTCTTTTCAAATTCAGAGCTACCTACATAAAAATATAAAAGTATTTCCCTATCCATAAATATTGGAAAACGATATTAACATTTATGTTGTTAGATATCTCTTGGATCATTTGTATAAAACTGGTTATAAAAGTGAAATCCTATCGTAAGCCTTCTGAAAATCGCTCACGGCCGATTGGAGCGGCAATCGTGCTTAAACGAGATTATTAAACGATCCCAAAAGGCGGCACGAGTTCCGAGTCTCACCTATAATTAATATAACCAATGCCGACACATTTCACTGCAGTACCTTGCCAGTTCGAATCCCGTTGGTACATGATTTGCTATCCGGATAAGGATAATGTTGAATTGTAATTATGCTCTCTCTACCTTTAAAAATGTAGGTTAACGTTAAAAAACAACATTCGTTCCTATCTGCGGATATTTTTATCTCGTGAAATGGTAGAACTACCGTCCAAAACACCGAGGGTAAAGCAAACAAGGGATACCATTAAAAATAAATAACGAAGGGAAGCTTAGGCGCGATGATACGTTAATGGATTTTGTATGACATATTTTTCAACCTGCTGCATTTTGCGGGAAACCATTTTTTTAGGTAAGGTAAAACAGCAGATAGATTCGCGGCAAACAACAAATACATGAAAATCAGAAGGATCTAAGTTTTAAAACATCAGAGGAAAACCAAGCAGGGCTCCGTTCGCGGGAGTGGGTCGTTCGTTAATAAATTCACAAACTTCCTCTTCCGTGCGAATGAAAGCGGGAGAATACCTATGACCAAAGTTCGCATTTAAGTTGAACAGTTATAATTAAGATAACTGCCAAACGAACCCTTGACAATTGAATATATTCGGAAGCCTCTTCTCCTGAAATGTTACAAGTGCTTCATTAATTCGATACTCAGCGTGCCACGGGCAGATGTTATGAACTGGTATTTGAGTGATGTTGCTTAAAGTTTCTCGCAATCATGTCAAGTGTTTCTAGAAGGTCGACAGAGTGCGTGCTACGTGTCAAAGATATAAAGTTAGGTTTGTTAGGAAATGTTGTGAGATAAGTAACTCCTTCTTGTTTTGTCTTGTCGCAAAATACTTGTCCATTCATCGATTATAAGTTCTAACCGGTAATGAGCGTTGAGGTTCGACCGTGCTCAACGTGTCAGTCAATGGCTAGGCCGTTAAGTGGAGCTCACTGGACCCGATGACTCAGCGTCTCCTAAGTGTTTAAAATACAAAATTGCGCTTCAGCCACCCACGCTCTTCCCGCACTCCCTGCTCCTCGTTTCGTTCATTTTCTATTTATAGCCTCAATTAGGGAGCTTAAACTTTTGTTTGTATTTCGTACTGCACAAACGTCCGTTAACGATAATACTCTGTTTGGTAATTTGTTGTCCTTAGATTTGCTTAAAACATAAACCACAGTTTGGCAATCATAGTACTTTAAAAAAAATATTATTGGCGTTATTTTACATTGCTGCTAGTGCTAGGATGAGTTTATTCGTCCTAACTTGCTGATATTAATCAATTAAATTTTCCATACATAGGTCTAAAACGGACTTTTGTTATCATAAAAGCTCAACAAAAAAATCCACGAAATATATATAATATATATAAAACTCTTATATATAATTCTCTATATATATAACTCTTGCACCTTACATTACCAGTCAGTTTTTTACAAGTTTATTATGCTGAAGTTATTTGTTTCATAAATACTCTCATTGACCTACAAAATGGACATCGGGTTCGCGCTAAAAAGTTTCCACAATTACCTATAGGACGTTAAAATCGCATACAGAGCGTCAATCGCATAATAGTTTTCGTTTGTTCGACTGACAGCGCAGTTGTCAATCATGCAGTACCTACTATATAATAATAGCTTGTAAAAATTACTGCAGTAAAGTGTAATAGCAGGATTTTGTATCATATTTTCACTAAACAAATATATTGTGTTATCATAGTTATCATTTAAAAGTGTTATTTTGTACAGTTGTATAATCTTTAATTTATTTAGAAATGAATCGTAAATATAAATTACAAAAGCAAACAAAATAATCATGTAGCTAACTGTCCTTTTTCTACACTTTGCATGCGCAACAGATGGAAAGAGACCCATTATGTCAATTTCAAGAAGCTTATATAAACTTCTTGGTCATTTGCAATTGTTCGAACCACAAGCGATTGAAATATTTAGAATAAAGAAACTATAGAGTCGTTTTGATTTTAATCTTATTTTTAAAATGATTTTTTATTAAACGTTAGCAATAACTAACAAAATATTGTTGTACTCGTTTTAAGGCTTGGGATTATTTATCAGAAGTCAGAAAACACATTTGCCCCAAATAACGCTAGGTCGAATTTTCATTAGTCAATTGTATTTTTTTAGGAATATTACAAAACAAAAGGTAATTTTGTCTATGTGAAAAGTA